GGTCCTCTATTTGATGAATTGCCTGTGTTATGTCTATAGGCATGTATGTCATGTGCATGTATTTAGCATATGAACCCCCCCTCCACTCAAACATCCCTATTATTATTATTTCATTTTGATGCAAATCCAAATGACAAATAAAGTCTGTCTAAAAATTACTCCACATCAGTGTTTGAACTTCACTGTGCAGAATGATGTAAGCTCAGAGTTTGACACTAGAAAGGGGAAAAGTTTCAAATCATGCCTGGAGTTTTCTCACTTTTCTGCATCGAATGGCTCCCATTCTTTTTTCTTCATGATTTAGTATCTAGTCTACGCATTCAAAGAGAGCCTGAAGGAACTGAAATCACATTGGCACCGTTTCACCCTGTGGCTCGACTCCACGATGGGAGGCTTTAAACAAACATCTTTTAGGGGAAGAAAACACAAACAAACATGTCATGTGACCGGGGTGGAATCACAAGCAAAAGGCTGAGGGATGATTACAGATAAACTTCCTGCTGTGATGATCACTTGAGTCGAAAAACAAAACAAAACAACAACAAAAAAAAAGCACAAAAACTGCTCTGAAACTGAAACTTTACATTCCGATATTGAACTGCTTCACACTGCTTTTAACACCAATTACAGTGAGTCACGATACAGGTCGATGAGCAGCGGCCATTACCAAATGTGGAATCATTACACCAAAATGTTTAAAAACCAACAAAAACGTATGCAATGACTAGATACAGATATATCATGTAAAACTCCCCGTGTTTTTTTAAATAGTCTATTTCACTTACACCGTGGTGGAGAGGGAGACAAATTACTGCACTGGTGGTTGAAAAAGAAATTGGTATAAAATGTGGTGCAATAAATACAAAAAATTTTGGATTTGACAGATGAGCGATTAAAAACACTGTACAGAAGTTTGTATTTGTACATTATACTGAACTGGACTGTTATACCATTACGTCTTTATATAAAGCCCAGCCTTGAGGATGTTCTCCAGGTGGAAAATGACAACGTGTCTCTCGTGGACACCGAGGACTTTTTTTTTTGTACAAAGCCGGGCTGGCAGTCATTCCTACTTGTGCCAAAAAAAACAACAGCATTCAGGCCACTTTCCTCAAAAAAACAACAACCCAAAAACACGCCCAGCACTCACCGCGTTTCTGACCGAGAGGAAAAAAGTTACAACACAGTTTAAATTCCGACGTTACTACAAGAAGAAGAGGTATCCATTTTGAAACACTTGTCTTATGTTCTTTTAATATACATTTCTGTATATGTATGACCTAGCTAAATTGTGTAGCGACAAGCTGTGTAAAAGTGCTTTTCAGAAAAAGTTTGGCAAAACAGAAAAAACTGAAAAGAGAGAGAGAGAGAGAAAACAATAAGCATCAAAGCGGTCACAGTACACGACGTTACTGAAATGAACTGCATCTGGGCAGTAGTTGCTACAGCCAGAATCCAACTTAAGGCTGATCAACAATACTTTAAGACAGCACCAGTGATCACAAGCTGAGCCCCTCCATCTACAATACAAATAACAGTAACTGCTCGGAGTTAATGTGGGGAACAGAAGTTTATCGACAAAAGAAAATAAAAAGGATCTGTCTTGTTGTTTAAAAAAGCGTTTCCTTCTTCCAGGAACAACCAGAGAGGCGAGGCTCTGTCCCTCCTGATCTTTAAGTACTTTACAATAGTATGAGCCAATTATGTACACAATGGCGAGTGAGACTGGCAATATGAAAATCACAAGTACTTCTGTAATGTCATACCATTACACTATATACCATTATATTTCACCTTAATAGGACTATTTTCACAAGGAGGTCTGCGTAATGCTTAACACCTAAACAAACAAACATAATACACCACTCACCGAGATGAAGTGAGAGAATCTGTCTGTAAACATTAACAAACATAGATACTGTATATAATTATATTCATCTATACCCATAAGTATATTAAAATCATGTCTAAGGAAGGTTGGAATGTAGTGTGGTCCTGAAAAAAATTGCACAAAATCGGTCATCCCCCCTCCCCCGTCTTTTCCCCAAGAAGAAGAGATAAATACGATGGCGGATCACGTCCGGAGTGTTGATTGGCTGTGGAGGAGGAGAAAATGCTCGTCTCCGTACAGCCATCCTGTGCGTGAGATGCCGACCACAGCTTACAGCAGGTAAACAAGGAGAGGAGCAGCGTGGTGGTGGAGA